TCCTGTTCTTAGCTGACAGGAGCGGCACCCGGTGTGGTCTTCTGCTGCTGTAGCCCATCTGCTTCAGGGTTCGACGTGTTGTGCGTTCAGAGATGGTATTCTGCATACCTTGGTTGTAACGAGTGGTTATTTGAGTTACTGTTGCCTTTCTATCATCTCTTACCAGTCTGCCCATTCTCCTTTGACCTCTGACATCAACAAGGCATTTTCGTCCACATAACTGCCGCTCACTGGATATTTTCTCTTTTTCGTACCATTCTCTGTAAACCCTAGAGATGGTTGTGCGTGAAAATCCCAGTAGATCAGCAGTTTTTGAAATACTCAGACCAGCCCATCTGGCGCCAACAACCATTCCACGTTCAAAGTCACTTAAATCCCCTTTCTTCCCCATTCTGATGCTCGGTTTGACCTTCAGCAAGTCGTCTTCACCACATCTAGATGCCTAAATGCATTGAGTTGCTGCCATGTGATTGGCTGATTAGCAATTTGTGTTACCAAGCAATTGAACAGGTGTACCTAATAAAGTGGCCGGTGAGTGTATATATATATATATATATATAGCTCATTAAGAATGAAAATATCAGTTTTAAGTAAATAATACATTTATTTAAGTTCTCAACTTTGGCCCTTGAGGTCCACATTCCTGCAGATTTCAACTTCAACCACACCTGAACAACTTAATCAAGGTCTTAAGGATTACTAGAAAGTTACAGGCAGGTGAGTTTTAGGCTGGAGCTAAACTGAATGAAAGTAGACCTTAAGGGCAAGAGTTGAGAACCTGTGATTCAGCATGTAGCCTTCAAATATTAAGTAAACATTGTTTGAAAAAGATTAAGCAAAACGTTAGCAATAAAATGAAGAACAGAGAAACACATTATATATTACATAAACAAGTGGCAGGTCTATTAGTCTGCATTTAGCAGTGTTGGGGATGCTACTCTGAAATACAGCTACAAGCTACTCGTAAATTAAAGTAGTTAAGCTACATTCAAACTACCCTTTTGAAAAAGTAGCTAGCTACATTGAAACTACTTTCAATTTTTTTCTTCTTCTTCTTCTTTTTTTTTTTTTTTTTACAATTAACATTACAAATAACTAAATAATTATTAATGAAGAATTATAATGAAGTTATAAGTAAAATATAATGAAGTTATAAGTAAAATATAATGAAGTTATAAGTAAAATATAATGAAGTTATAAGTAAAATATTTGGGGTTTAAAAC